CTGTAGGAAAGTGCCTCTCTCAAACCACCCTCTAGAGAAGGGAGAAGAAACTGCTGTTTCTTCTTCTTTTCAGAAGGTTTCTCCTTCTGTTTCCACAAAATAGACTCAATTTTACCCTATCTCTGTCTTCATAACTGAGCTTACTGATTCTTACCCATCAAAGTGGTTCCTTGTCCAGTTGATAAACACGTCTATCATTCAGTAACTCTACAAAGAGATCACATCCTCTTCATCACATTATACAGACCTGCTTTGTTTTCTGTAAATCCTAACAGTGAGCTGAGTTTGCATGGTGTCCTGATAGCCTATCATTCCCTAAAGGATGTCTTGAAGGGTCATTCCAAAACACTGACCTGTCAATCTTCATCCTCCAAGTGGGGTGACTTAAATCCTCAGAAAACTCATATGCACCAGAAAGGAGTTGAGGTATGCAATGAGAAAGTCAAAGAAAGACCAAAGGTCCCAAAGAAGAAATAAAATATGACCTAGTCTGTAACTAGCACTGACATAATCTGAGGAAAAAAAAAATCTTCCTTTCTTTCTATGCTTTCTTACAAAGCACAGAAAAACACTGTAGACAGATTCTACCCTCCCTGAGAATACTGAGACATAAACAAACATCCTGGTACTGGATATTAAGGAGAATTTACATTAGGGCAATACCCAAAGGGGAATAGCTCAAACAGGTGTATGTATTGAAGAAGAAAGGCATGTCCCTTATTACGGCTGGTCATTTATAATTGAAGTTCTAAGTACGCAACTAATTCTGAACTAGTTCAAAATAAAAGGAAAATGAAAAAATAATAGTTCCTGATAAGTCAGTGTGCTGGCTCTGAGTGACATTGGCTATGAACATGCCTGGGTGAACAGCAGTGAACTGAATATGGAGATTGTGCACTGACAGGTCATTTCAGACAGTCCTGCAGTTAGGCAACACTCTTCACCCTAGGGAAGTTTCTCTTCCAAACACTTCCATTTTTCCACATGGACTTTCTTTCAAAGATGTTGGCTGTTTTTAGCAATTTTTCTTCAGCTTTACTCTTTTTGAAGACTCTGGGGTGTTTAGGGAAGCTGCTGTATTAATTTTCTCAGATGTTTTGAGTTCTGAAAGGGTTTCACCTGCAAAGGATTTATCCTGACGAGGAATTAATTCCAGAGAACTGTATATAAAGTGAGGGATTCTTGGTGGTTTCTCAGACACACGAGCAATTCTGAATGGAGATCTGTTAGGGTGTTCTGGGTATTTGCATGTCAGCATGCAGAAAAAGCAAGCAAATGCAAATGAATGTTCCTGAAAACGGCAGTGGAAAGCAAATGTGGTTTTTATTTTTTACGCACCCTAAGGAGACCTTCTTATAAGGATCACGATAGCAAGAGCCCAATACCAAGAGTCAGAAGTACTAAGCTTCCAGAGCAGGAGATAACTGGCTGGTTCACAGCAGTAGAATTGGGGACCCTTCCCTCCCCAGTCACAACTGTACCCCAGGCTAGGACACCAGCTGGCACTACCATCAGCTTACTATGGGCAGTATGGTTCACAAATATATAAGACAGCTAACATAAAATAGACGAACCATTGATACTGTCAGATGAGAGATTCATGATTAGATTTCATCTACGGGAGATAGTTTGTGGGCAGGGTGAATAATGGACAGATGGAGAATTTACCAAGTATCAGGATAAATAAGTTGAGCAGAGTGGAGGGCTAACAGGCAGCAGAGGAACTAGCAGAGTTCTCAAAAAAGGACAAATAATGGATAGAGGTGGCCAAGATGAGGGTGATGAGGCACTGGACCAGGTTGCCCAGAGAAGCTGTGGATGCCCCATCTCTGGAAACATTCAAGGTCAGGTTGGACGTGACTTTGAGCAACCTGATCTTGTTGAAGATGTCCCTGCTTGTTGCAGGGGGGGTTGGACTAGATGACCTTTGAAGGTTCCTTCCATACCAAATTATTCTATGAAGTACACAAAAAATATGCAGCTTCTGCTGTGTAAAGACAGCAACTATTTATACTTGTCTACCTACAGCAAGCTAGACCCCCATGACTGGATTCTTCTTGCTTAGACTCCTCTGAGACCCTTATTGTTTTATTTTAGTTGTATCTCAACACCCAGAAGCATTTAAACCTTGGAAAACTGCTTTAGGTGGAATTTAGCTGCATATATCTGACTGCAGGAAGCCTTCCTGAACTGCAGTGTGTGGTTTGTGCACATATGCATGTGAGTGCATGCATGTGCTCATCAGGGAAGCAAAAACAAGGAACTGAGGCAGCAGACACATGACTCAGGGTGTGTGTGAGATTGGTAATATGACCCCAGTATTGCTGGATTATCAGCAAGTTTGGATCTTCATTCTGCAGCAATTGGGCTACCTCCCAACAGAAAATGCTGCAGGCAACATTTATGCTTAGTAGTTAGTTATCCATGGGAGCAGGTAAGGGATTAGTGACTAGGCAGGGTTTCATGGCTGTCAACAGGGTGAACACTGTAGCTGCTCAGAAGTATTTAGCAAAAGAGGAAATAATATAGCTTTTTCTGCTCTAAATCACAAGTCCCTTGCATTTGAACTGAAGGAAAATTGTCTCCCTTTGGAATCCGGTATGTGACTTGCCTGAACGAGATGTGGTTCAAAGTTATGCTGCTGCATGTATTTGGCAGCAATGTTGGTTTACTGCATTTAGCTGTCCTGCTCTTCCATCCATGCTTGCCTCAGTACTGTAGCCCACCACCCCTGCCTTGGGGCCACAGCTTCTTCTGCCATCTAAAACCAGCCATACAGATTATCTGGTTGGAAGAATTAAAAATAAACCCAAACATTTTTAGGAATGCTGCTTTTCAGCCAGATCAGTTTCCCTGCCTGATTCACAGCATTGATGCAAAACCCACGAGGACCAGCACAACTGAGAGAGCAGACCGCAGAGGTACCAGCTAGCAGTGAGGGGCAGCAACAACTTAACTGAATTGCTGTCAAAGACTGCAGCACGAACCTATAGCTGGAGCTGTAGTTTGGGGAACAAAGCTCAGTCTAACCCAATTTGTATTCTGGACAATGCAGAAACGCCACAGGTTTAGCTGGATTTTACCTCTGTCTTTGAATTAAAGTGCACAAATTTAGGTTTGCATCTTTCACCCAAAGAAATGTTATTAAGCAGCTTATTTCTGTCAATGTAATTAATCAAGAGATGGCAAAAGATCACTGTTTCATCCTAGATTTGAAACCCCATTCAACTGCTCCTCCCTGGCCTGTCAAGGCTCTCTCACATGCTGTGTGTTCTGCACAGTGTATGGTCTCTTATTTTTAGCTATAGGTGGTAGCAACACAGTTTCTCTAAAGAAATCCCACTTATAATGTCCATTAGTCTTTGAAAGCAATCGGGTGTTAACAAGCTTATCTTAAAGTTTAACTGCCTAAAATTTCTTCTGCTCCCACTTCCTTAGCTTTTATTCTCTTAATCTTTGTCCCAAGTAAAGAACTCCTATCATTTAATGGATTTATCACAAAAACATATGTACTTATTTTTCTCTTCTTTAGTAATATCTTTTGGCTTACTCTTCCAAATGTAGCATTTGCATCAGCTCACTTTGAATGCTTCCTCCAATCATAGAATAGAATCAAGTATGCTGGAAAAGACCTTTATGATCAAGTCCAACCATTACCTCAGAGACCACCACTAAACCATGTGACTGAGGACAAACTGATCTCACCTCAAGATCTCCCGTCCTAACTGACCCTCATGGAGATCCCCTCACATCTCATGGCTGCCCCTGCTTTCCCATCATGGCCATCCTCACATCCCATGGCTGCCCCTCATGTCCCGTGGCTGCCCCTGCTTCTCCCTCATGATCTCCCCTCACATCCCACGGCCACTCCACAGGTAAGTTTCTGTTTAGCTAAGTTTTGGATCCAGAGTTTACAGATTGCAAGAGTTTTCTTTTAAATTCAGTGAATTATGTTTAAAATACTTGGGTGCCATTCTTTTTATTACTAAAGTGAAGTGATAAAGTCAATTGATGAATGGAACTGAGCAGTTTTCAGGATCAAGTTCAAGCTTGTGAGAAGAGACGAGTGACTGAGTCTCTAAAGAAAAATAAAATTATCTGGAAGTCAAATCTTTCCCCAGCAAGAATATCTAGCTGCTGCTTTTCTCTTTCCACATGTACCATATACAAAAAATGTAATGTAAGATACTGGCATATCTTGAGTATTTGTTGAAGTTAGCATTCTGTTCACCACTGGCATTTTTTTTGTGCCAGACAGAACTATGTTTTTTTCCAAGTAACTCCATCTTGTACCCTGATCCTGCATGTGCTTACTTGATTATTCTGAATACTTCAGAGTACTCTTATAACTCTCTCATATAATGAACTGCCAAGTCTATTTTGAGTATGTTAATCTCAGAGTAAAGTTAAATACAAAAACATGCCCCAGTGCTCTAAAAGATTGATGCATTTTCAGGTTAATCTCTGAGGATTTTAGTGCCATTCAGAATAAATTATCCATATCAGTTCAGTATTGCTTCCAAGTAGGTGCATGCTTTCATGAGGAATTTATGTGAATTCCATTACAGAAATGCCAGGGTCACTATTTTATAGTTTCAGAAGAACCAAAACACCAAAGGACTAAGGGAGTGGTGTGATGACACAATGCATTTCTTTTTTTGGAGAGGAACAGGGACAGGACAGGATTTAAAAGTGCTGCCATGTGAGACTGAGTATTTATATGGTCTGTGCTCCCTCTGCCAGTTCCAGTTTAGTGTAAAAATTCTGCTGGATTAACTTTGCCCAGCTAGGCTTTATGCCAGATGTCAGTCACTTCCATCCCAGCTATACATTGAACCCCAGAGCAGATGCAAAGTTAGCCTAAAGGTGTCACGTTGACATGAACTGTATTGTGCACTCTGACAAATTCAGCAGGCCTGCCTGTTCTGGGATAAATCTGCTGAGAAGAAATTTGGAAGTACACAGATTCAGTATTACTGCTCATGTAACCATGGCTTCACAACCTTTGCTGAGAAGAGATGTGCCCTGTGGTAAGGGAGACTGGCTCTCCTGGCATCTTTGCTCCTTCCCATTCTCATTCATCAGCAAGCAGAGCTGGGAGAAAACAGAAGTTATGAACACAATGGACATAGACTATGAGACCCTGAGGATAAATTCATCTTTGACCCATCAGCCACCAAATGATTCGGGACCTATGCACACACCATTTCACATCACTGCGTATCACATCTGTGGTCTGCCAGGGTGCAACGCAGTGAGGCAGGAGCTGAGACAGAATGCTGCTTGTATTGCCTTGTTCGTAGTGGTTTTGTCTCCCTTAGTAAAAAATAATCCCAGGTTTTGCTGATCTTTAGGGCAGCCTGCTAGATCTTCACTTTGTTTAAAAAAAAAAAAAGTTGAAGGCAGGTAGAATTTGGGTGTGATTGTGTGACAGAGCATGACGGAGAGGTTAAGCCTTGCAGTTTATTGTAGATAAAAGAAGTAACAGAATTGTAAAATAAGCACTAGTTTTTAAATCATTCTAGCCTGAGGCACAGTTAGCAGAAGAGATTTTTCCAAGGCCACACCAAAACATTTATATTCCAGACTCAATTATTGATCAACATGAAACATACATTTATATCAGGCATCACCTTTGAAGTCTGTTAAAGTTATAAATAACTTTTAAAATGTGACTGCTTTTCAAGGTAACACTTTCAGGATTTCCATGCCGTTTTTACGGAAGCTCTGGGAAAAGTCACTGATGGAGAGGAATCTGAGGTGAAATTTTCTTAAATTCTTTAATGTTGGGTTGCTTGGGTTTTCTTGGTTTTGTTGGTTTGTTTTTCTTTTTTTTTGACAGTATATTGTAACTTGATGATAATTTTTTCATAAGGGCCTCCCACATGGCATAAAGGATCTTGCTTTACTGCAGCTCTATAGAGCTTTTGAGGAGATTTGTCTTTCTTTGAAAATCACCATGCTTTGCCATGATGTTTTCAAAGAGGACTTGTACTTTGGCATGACTGGGCATCTCCATTCAAAACTAGCCAGTGAGCCTTCTGCTTCCACCCTGTCAGCCAGGGAATCAGAGATGCTCACTGATGGCTAGGGGGGAAAATAAGATATTGCCTGGCTGTATTTCTGCTGCATTTGTAACTAAAAATACATTTAGCAAAATCCTGAGAGGAGGAGGAAACCACAAGTGCACAGCAAAATGGCTGAGGCTCCCCTGGATAAGAAGCACTAGCAGGAAGGCTGGGATGAGGACTAGCTTTTCCCTAGCCTCTTGCTGGGATTTATGGTGATCCTGTGATCCAGCGGCTGGAACTGCCATTCCAGCTCCAGAGGGGTTGATGACTCTTTTTGTTGTTTTAAAGTTATTTGTGTATTCATTGTATGTGTTATGAAATCGCTGTGGTTTTTTTTTTATCTACAAAAAGCCAGGCTTCTGAGGCACTGGTGGTTCTGTGGCACTTCCTAATTACAGGTATGGAAACTCCTGAACTATAACGAGCAGTGTTATCTAAGTACTTTTTTTTTTTTTGTTTTTCCCAGGTGATTTTTAAAAATTATTTTGGGGAAAAATCAGTAATAATGATTGTTTGAAAGGCTTATCTTAAATGCTTTACTGTTGCAGAGCAAACCTGCTGAATCACTGGTAACAGTTTAAATCAAGTTTCTCATCCATTTCCCTGTATACAAAAATCTCCACATTGCACATGTAATCAACAGTAGATAATGTTATTCTATTTAAAGGCTATGAAAAGAAGAAAAATCCTTCAACTTATACCCTGCTTTAAAATTCATATTAATTTTTGACATTACTGTTTGTAGCATGCCATATGAAGATTCCCAGTGTGCAGAAAAAGGCTTTCATGATACTGCTAGAGATGTAAAAATAAAGAGCAGAAACTTCTTAGGAATTCACTGGAAACCTTGGAGTAAGCTAGGAATAAAACCCCCATTTCTTTCCATTTGGCAAGAAAAATAAATGTTTACTTACTAAAGTGTTTATTTCTAAATTGTCAGGTGTGGCTGCCCTTTACAGGAAAGTGGGTGCATGACTGGCAAGGCAAAATAAAAAATTAACTGATAAAATAAATACTGTGAAGAGGAAGGAGATACAGCACAGAGGAAAAGTACTGTGATAGAAAAGGGCAATGGATCAGGAGAAGCTTGCTGGTATGTGCAGAAATGAAAACATCTGATTTTTTTTTTTTTTACAGTGAAAAGAAACTATTAAGCATATTTTAAGTCATTCCTGCTTGTGTTTTCTCTCCCACTTCTTCCTTTGTAGTGGTGCTTTCAGTTGTGTGTTTTTTTGTTTTTTTTTAAGGTCAAGAAAGAAGATAAACTGCTAGTTGTAAATAGTGCTGCAGGGGAAACACTGGGGATATAACCACCTAATTATGAATTTCCTGAATGTGCAACATGACTAGGAGCAACTGGACAGGATTGGTGCTCTATGTTTCATCTCCAGCTGTTTCACAAATACCAATCTACAAAATCTCCCAAGAACAACATCTTTTTTCATGGCCCTACTTTTGGCTTTAACAATGCAAGCAATAGGGCTTTGTTTTCTTTAGAGTCTGAACTGAAACAAGAGCTTTCAACAAAACAAAACCAAAGCAAACCTAATGAGCCAAAGAACTGCAGAGTGTTAAGGAGACTTAGCTGAAATATTTGTTAAATATCAAAAGGAACATCCTTCTTGCTGGCAAAAGGGGAACTAACACTGCAGAGATGCGTGATTATAAGACAATAAATGGGAGTATTTTCTTCTGGTGCAGTGGTCAAAGTTATTGTTTTGAATAAGCACAACTGGTGTGTAATCTTCATGGCAAGCTTCTTGAATTGGTTAAGTGCCAACACTCTTTGGAAGCTCTTGGCAGATGGGAACTTATTTAGACTTATAAAACCAATGTAGATGAAAAAATGTAAAAAATGCCCTGTGTAAGTCCTCAGCTTGCAATTGGATAAATTATGAAGACAATGGTGCTCCTCATGCAAGAAAGGGCAACAGGAACATCTTTTTTCCATGATGCCTTTGTAAAGCTTAAGAAACAACTAATAGCATAATATCCCTGATAAACAGCAACCTCTGCTGTGTCAGAAATCGCACCTTTAGAATAATGGCACTGGCATTTAGAGGGCCTCTCCTAGCTGCCAGAGAATTCCCTGGGTCTTCAGTGACTTCTAGTAGAGTTTGACTGGGCATGTTTATTGCTTAGGAGTAGGTTGAGAGATTCAAAGACCTAATTAAGGACCGGCCTACTGAATGTAATACAAGGATGTCCAGTAGGTAATTGTTTTTATCACAAATTGTTGTGCAATGCAAGGTTACCATACATCCCAGTAGCAAGAAGCAGGTAACTTTTATTTCAGAATCTTATAGTGATTAGTCCTTTGACATTATCCCAAATTGTTGTGCAATGCAAGGTTACCATGAATACCAGTAGTAAGAAGCAGATACCTTTTATTTCAGAATCTGACAGTGATTAGTCCTTTGACCTTATCCCAAGAGTAAGATTTTGGGGGCTTAATTTCTGCATGTGTTACTGAGCATGAGAGATACTGACCTGTGTCTGAAGAGGGGAAAAACCTGCTAATTAATACTGTGAATACAAACTCCTCACCAAACTTGGTCAGTTCATGAATGCAACAACGTGAATATACACTGAGTGAATAACTAGCATTCATTTCCTCTAAATAGAGAGGTACAGATAGAAATCCTGGTTCATGAAAATGTTTACATGCCCTAGTTATTTACAAAGTGCCCTGCAGAATTTTTGATTCCTTGCAGTAAAAGTGACCATTATGAACTACAAACTACATACGTGTGCTTACCCAGATCTTCTTGCTTCTGCTAGTCCCCGGGCACCATCTTGAAAATAAAACATTGTCAAGATTGAAGGAATTCAGTATGTTTTAATCTGTATAGTCTATTCTGCATTTAGCTTTGGGGTTTTTTTTAATTATTTTTTAGGTAAGAGTGAGAGAAGACTACTGTGATCAGACAGTACTGTAGGATTTTGAGTACCCAACTGTGCAAATTGCACTAACTTTAATGGTATGGGATACATAAAGACAAGGGCCCCCAAAAGGGTTTATTAACAAGAAAAAACAGATTATATGGTCCTATCTTTATTCAGTGGAAGGAATAAATTGCGATCACAAGGTGGAGGGAGGAGAGGTGCTATGTCATTTTGTTCTGGATGTTTTCCTTAAGGACATCATCCAGTTGTTTGCCTTGAGCATCCTGCCCTTCCCACCTTGCAGAACCCTTTCCCTGGGAGAGTGAGGTGCAAGTGAGGGATGCTTCAGTGCCTACTCTCAGCCTTCCTAGGGTTCACCTAGGGTGTATTTCTTGCTGAGTATCTATTTCTCTCTGTTCAGGTTGCTGCTGGCCCTGAGAGTAAGAGTCTGAACTTGTAGGAGTCTGAACTTGAAGCTCTTGCTATGGGTAAATGTAACCTGTTAGACACTGAGTCCCAAGCCAGCCCACCCTCAGATGTTCAGAGATGTAATAATGGACATGAAGAGAAAACTTCTGTGACTGCAGTCCCTGCCAGTGTGTGAGCGGAACCATACACCCTACGTGCTGGTGCCATTAAAAATGACTGAGGGCAGTACACCCCAGGTTAAAAACAAAATAAAAATACCTCCCCCCCCAGTGTATTTGGCAAATAAATTCATCAAAGCGTTCTCTGTATACTGTCAAACAGCACTGGTGCCACCATCTCAGCCTGCCTGTCTGCCCTCTAGAATACAGAACGTGGAACTTGTGGGAATAGTGAAAGTTTACCTGTAATCCCATCAGAAATGGGAGGGAAAGTATCCTGTGTGAATAAAGACTGTCTTTGCAGCCATTTCAACGATGTATAATCTCCAAGGCCACATCCTGACTGTACAGAGAGAGTTTCCATAGGCTCCTCTCTGGGATTTGTCAACAAATCCGAAGGGATGGCTGATGGGGATGGTGGCAGAATACGGGGTTTAGAATTAGTTTGCATCCAGCCCCAGTCAGCAATGACTTTGTGATAGCTAAACAATTCTTGCTTGAAAGCAGCTGGGGGCTTCTGTCTGATCCTGGTGCATCTCCAGTTTGGGAATGACTGTCCTGAGGTCACAGATCCAAGAGAAAGACTGAGGAAGGAGACAGCATCATCCCTTCATCCTGCTTGTCTGCAACAGGGGCACATGGGAAGGGAGATGGAAGAGACATGCTATTGCATTTTGATGCCACTTGCTTCCTGAATTAACAGAAAGATCTCACTGTGATAAAAGAAAAATATGCATGCTATTGAAAAAAACTCAGACTCATCAAAACAGAAAAGTTAAGTTCATAGCTCTGGTCTGTATTTATTTAGATGATAGTTGAGGTCAGTCATTTTCTCCAGTGTAATTTGTCTATCCCTGCTGTGTCACCACTTAGCCTAACCCTTTTTCAGGGGCAAAAGACGGTTTCCTCCGGGTCTGATTAATGCTCTTCCTAGATGAGCTAGTTCAGGCAGTAGAGACAGTTTTATCTGTTATTTATGTTGGAACTTTCTTAGGAAAAGCGGTCCTTGCTGCACTCTCCCCTGCTCCCTTCCTCGGTTTATAAGCCATGCCCAGTTTCCTTTGAATCAGCTTGGTGTTATTGCTAACCATATCTGCTCATCAGTTCATCAGGGCAGCAGGGCTGAATGAAAAGTGCTCCAGGGAGGAGGTATGCCTTTGCTCCAGGCCCAGGCTAGTTTTCCTTTTTTTCGTGTGTTTGGCCAATTCTGCAGTTCTAGGTGAGACTGGAAATGTCTCTGTGCCTTGGGCCTCTGTTTTGACTCTCCAAATGAGGACCTAGCTGCATTCTGGCCCATTGCGTAGAAAAGCTACAAGTCAGTTGTGCGGTTTTGTTACTATTTCTCTTCTTTATTCTTTTCTATATTCTCTTTATGAAAAGAAACACTCTTTTTTTTTTTTCATTTTGCTTTCTTCAGGTTTGATTTTTTTTTTACACTTCAGCTGAAATTTCATCTTTTTCTTCTTTGGAGTAATTTTCCAACTTGAGTCAGTGATTATTTTTTCCTTTCTAACCCAACATCTTCACTGTCTCTTTTCTCTCTCATCTTCACAAAACAGTCTATGAGACCAAGTAAGGGCTTTATCACCCTAGTGAGTAATTAATCTCATCTGACTCTAACTCAATACAGGATCATCAAAAAGTCTGTGTGTTTTGGGTCACTAATAAAACAAAACATTTTTCTACTTTTATATTTTAGACATTTCAAAAGGTTTTGCAATTAATAATAAACAATACTTAGTGCTGGCTGGCCATTTTACATTGAAAAATCTTTCCCATGGGAAAATGCTGATTTGTTATTTTTGTAGGAATTACCTATTTCAGATACCTTTATTTTCATTTTTCTGTGTTTTGGTCAATTAAAAAAAAAAAAAAAAACAGGCTAGTTGGGCATGACATCTTTATTTTACAGAACTTTCATGCCAAAGCAATTGTTCTTTATTCTCTGAATTTCATCAAGAAGTAGAACATCAAGGAGTCCTATGAGAAAAATATCATGTTGATATTTTAATGGAAGCTGATGAAAATGCACCTAAGACTTCACCAGGTTTTCTAGTTTCTGAAAGGAAGCCTTGCTCTCACGGGTAGGGGAGATCAACTGCTGATAAAAGCTGTAAGAAAAAACAACACTGAAGTGACAGAGAGAATGTAGAGCACAAGACACACGGGTGGTGAGCTTCTGCGGAGGGTTAGCTACCCAAAGGCCAAATCAAAAGCCCCTTCATAGCACGACTGTGACCTGTGGTGTCAGTAAGGCCAAGCCCTATTTTAAGCTTTCCCTGTAAACAGATTAAGTCTCTAGTCATGATTCCTACATCACCTGGATGCAGGGCTGAGAGGTAAATGACCACTCTGGCTCCTTGGGGCTCTCTTCCAGAGCCAGCAGAAAAACCTCTCTTCTTTTGGGCTGCAACAACTTCATCAAAGCATTTATGAAGCTCTGAAAAACATATCTTAAAACTTCTCCTCCTCACTCCCAACTGATGGAAACACTGGAGCAGCCACCCTGGTGGGACTAAGGGTTCTTCTAATGCCGTGTCTTGCTTTTGCAGCAGGTGCTGAGAGGAGGACATACAGGAGAGTGAGGCAAATCCCGGCCTTTACCCCTTCGGATGAGGGGCTTCCCCGGTAAAAAGGGGGATTTTCGTGACAACAGGGACCAGCCTCTGGCACGACGGCTGGGGGAAGGCTCGGTGGGTTATTACTGCTCCAGGGGTGATACCTGACAATAAGGAATGATGCAGAAATCGGAGGAGCAGAGGGCGGACAAGGCGAAACGGGAGCTCGGACCCTGCCAGGCGGTGGAGCCGGCGCGGGGTGCGCAGCGCTCAGCGACGCGGCGCCGCCTTACTCAGCCGCAGCCGGTACCCGCCCCAGCCCCCTCCAGAGCCCTGCCGCCCCTCGCGGCTCCCCCTGCCCGCCTGCGGGGCGGAGGCGGCGGCGCGGGGCCGGTCCGGGGCGGAGCCGCTGCTCGGTGGGGTGGGTGCAGCAGGGTCGGCGCGTCTCGCTGCCGCCCGTCTGAGCCGGCTTTTCGGCGGGAGCCTCTACTCCAGAGTGCGCGGTAGCGTGGGCCGTCCGCGGGCCCCATGTGGTGCCGACATCACTGACATGGCGGAATCCCCGCCGAGCCCTCCTGGCACTCGCTCTAGCTAGCCGGGACTCACCACCGCGCCCGGCCTGGCTCGGCGTCCTGCACCAGCCCTCCGCCAGGTAAGGACGCGGTGGCGGACGGGGGACCTGAGCGGGGAGCCCAGCGGTTCGGGTCGTCTCGACTCGGAGCTGCTCTCGGTTCGCAACCCAGAAGAGCCGTGTCGCTCCCCCCCCGAGGCGCCGCTCCCGGTCCCGGCTCTTTTGTTCGGCGGCGGGGCGGGATCGCGGGGCGGCGACGGGACGCGGCCGCACTTGGCGGAAAGTTTCTCTCGCTGCCGCCCCCTCCTCTCCCTGCGCTCCCCGCCCGGCCCGTCTCGCCCGGGGGCCCCGCCGGCTCTGCGCCTCCGCGGGTAGCTCTCAGGCGGACGGCGCGGTGCGGGCACGCGGAAGCAGCCCCGCCGTGGCCCTGCGAGGAGCTGGCGGCCGGACAGGCCCTCCAGCGCCGCCCGGTAATCCCTAGGGGCTGCCGGACAGGGCGCTGTCATCGCCTCTGTCCGGCCGCCCGCCCCTCCTCTGCGTCCCGCGGCGGGCACGGGCGGTGTGGCTCCGGGAGGGAAAGCGCGGGGAGCGGCCGGTGCTGCGTGCGGGGCTGGGGGCACGCGTGGTTGCATGCGTGGAGGCCTCCGCCCTGCCGCGGCTGACCCGCAGGAACCGGGCCCGTGGGGCGGGAGGGCGCAGGTTCGCGCCCGGGGCCCCGCTGAGCGGCCCGGAGTGCCGGGCAGGTGAGGCCAGCCGGGCCGCTCCTCGCCCGCAGCTTCCTCTCAGAACGTCTGGATCCAGGGTGCATGTTGGAGAAAAAGCTGAAGAAAGGCGCGAGCGACTTCTCCCGGCCCCGTCCTCCCCGCCCGGCTCTTGGCTGAGGCGGCTCTGGGAAGGAAAACCCTGGAAACTTTTTATTTTGCTTGCCAGACACCTTTTTAAAATGGCATGCTACCAGGAGACGGAGCGAAAAAAGAATAAGCCTTTTAAAAGCATAATCTCGCTTAGGTTAAGACCACATCTGCATCCCTCCCCTCTGCCTTCCCCCCCTTCCCGGTTCTCAGAAATGTTCTATTTAAATAAGGTTTTGGCTATGGTGGTGTGGCCTGGAGTTAAATGTAATGAACCATTTATCCCATCTATATCTGTAAAATAAACGGTGGGGGGCAACTGCCTCTCTCCATATTAGTATTTCATTTGCATTTCTTTGTGTACTTCGAGTACATAAAAGTATTGGCTTGATTCCCTAAAGTGGTGGTTTCTCCATCACAGATGGGGAAACTGAGATATGGAAAAATTGAATATTCTTGTTTGGTGGGGTTTTTTGGTTATTTCAGATTTTTGTACTGCCTTTTTTTTTTTTTTTTAATTATTTTTCATTTGAACTAGGTGCTAGATTTGTGGGAACAGAATTCACGTATCCTGGTTCCCTGGGCCCTGACCACATTTGCTGTATCCCCTAACCACTTAACCTGCAGAACTCAGGGCTCAACTAGTACTTTCCTGAAAGGTGCCAAACCAGTCTAACTCGAGCTTAGCAATGTGCTAGGTAATGGGATTTCAAACTTGCACACATGTTTTAAGCCTAAACAGTATTTCTCAACTTTTTTTGAGAAATACTCAGCTTGCTTAAAAAAGGTTGGGACTGCTAGGCCTGCTAGCTCCTTGGTGCCTGTACTGGTTTGGAGCTCTGCTCCTTTCTGAGGGGGAGCAGCTGGTCTGGACGTGGATGATACAATGTGTGTGCTTGGTTGGAAATACAGGTAAAGGCATCTCTTTCATAAACCTCAGGAATGGGCAGTGGGCTGCTTCCTGAGTGGAGGAATCTTGTACCTCTCACTTGGTCCCCCAGTACCCTTGTTCACCTTCTGCCTATGTGTCTCTCTGGTTGAAACATGCTGCCGGTGCTACCAGTAAGAAAATGATTCTTAGCAGTGTTCCTGGGGTCATTTCGGGTCTCACACAGAAGCGGTCTGTTAGTGCTTTTCTCTTAATCTTCACTTTGTGGTTCCCTCTCGTTAGTTTTAAAGCAGTTGTGGTTGTTATCAGGGACCCTGCCGTGACAGAAATATCTGTTGCCCCAGGAGTATCGCATGTTGTTCTTCCCAGGTCAGCATCTTTTAGCTGGTTTATGCTCAGAGGTGAGTCTGTGGAAGTTGATTTAGTTTATAATTTTTGAATTTTATTTGAACCATTGGTACTCACCTGGTTTGGGTTTGAGGTCACTGCTGGGATGGCGATGAGGGGGAGTTCTCATGCTGTTAGCTTATAGCTGGCCAAAGGACAAGAAATGAAGACAGCATCCAAAATAAGCTGATATTCTACTATAGCCAAAAGCTTAGAGGTGTAACTCCATACCGCAAGCTCTCGGAAGTCTGTAACTTCCTATCTGAAGTGTGTTTATTCTGGCACTATTTTTTTTTCCCTCTACATGTGGCATTTAGTGAGCAGAAAGTAGATTTCTGCATTGTACCTCTTTCTTAACAGAGAATTTATGGTTTCGTTTTTTTTTTTTCCACTTTGTAGATTTCTTTAACTTCTCTGATGAGAGGAGCAGTTAAGGGTGGTTAAACTTCTACAATTTATAAATTATGCAAGAAAACACATACAGATCATGCAACAGACTTCTGTGTGTGTGCAGTTGTATTCATGAGCTTTCTAATTAATATAATTGGCTTTTCCCTCAAAAATGCAGGTTGTTGGTCTGATGAGTGCTAGCAAGGTTTATGGTGTGAATAAATGTTTGTAGTGTGAGGATCTTAATTCCTACAAAATACAAATAATTACATAAATGTCCCATATACAGCTGAATAAAACAAACTGTGCTCCGTAGTGCTTTTCTTCTCAATGCAGTTTGCTACTCCGCTCAAAAGGAGAGACATGAGGGAAGATGGAGTGGCCTGTAGGAGCAGCAGTTTGGGATGCTCTGGGAGGGCTTCCTGGCTCTCCAGCAAGAGTGCCATGGTAGTTGGTGTTAAGACTGGAAATCAAATGTCCCAATGCAACAGAACAGTAACTTGCAGCACACTGCACAAAACCAAAGTCCCATTTGTTTGCAATAGCCCTTAGTGTACAGCAAATAAAATAAATAGCGGAGGAAACTAGCAGCCCCTGTGTAAATCTCAGCTGTGCCAAACACCAGTGAGGCAAAGGGTTTCTTAAACGTGTTGCACAGAGGACTTGCTCCTGGGTGATCTCTGTGCTGCTGAACGGCAGCGGTTGAGGATCCTTTGGAGACAGGAATATCAAAAGTCATGTTGTTTACGGCCAAGATTTAGTGTCCATGTGTGATCTCTCCCTGGAGATGGAAGGTATGTGGGAAGAGGGAAGTTCTTCAAACAAGGCGGTGGAAATACGAGACGCTTGATACGCAACGGTAACAGGCCATCTACAGGCAGGAATGTTGGTGTGTCAGCGAGCAGATAACTCCAGTTTCCAGTGGGGATGCGGTAGTTTGCATTTTTACCAATTTATTCTAAGCACCTCTTTGCAAAATTGAAGCCTCCTCTTTGTTGAGTTACAGACAGCCAGGAAAAAAGCACAAACTAATTAAACATGATTTATTGTGGAATTTGTAACAGTATTGGAGAGATTAGTTGCCTTTCAGAAATGCCGCTGCGGATGTTAAATCTGTGCTCTGCTCTGGATGAAAGATGACTGTGCTGTTACGCAAGCACACAAGAAAAGCATAGTCCGTGTTAAAGTCTGTTCCTGAGCGGGAATATCCCCTGAAGGTCCTAGGTAGGACAGCTTTGAGCAAATCTTCACAGCGCTTTTAATTGGGAAAGGGTGGCTTTCCTTGAGCTTAGAGATAAAAACATGCGGTTTCACCAGTGACATGCTTTCTGCATTTGATCTAAGGAATCCTTTCTTTACAAGCAAATTATGTTGTTTGTTGGCACTTAACAGACAAAATGCTGACTACAACACCAACTGTATAAGAAACATACTTTATTTGTATTTCTAGTGGTGACAGTTTTTAATGGTGGTATATACAGAAAGTTACCATTTGGATACTCTTCTTATTAAACTGCAACTATGCATAATGTTATTCGTGTAATATGAAGTATCAAACAATTCCTAAGCAATTAAGTGTGTATTTTATATTATTTCTTGAAGAAGACAAAGATTGCAGCTAATACTGATGTGTGGCATTTGTTTCTTCTGGCATCTGCTTCCGGTTCCTCTAGAAGCTACTAAGTGGAGTGACGAGAAGGATTCAGTTTTCTGCCTTTGTGGCTTTTTTTGAGTAGTGTTTGGTTTTTGTTTTTTTTTTTTTTTTTTTTGTTGGATTTATGATAACTGAAATGAAACACAAAGTCTCTGGAGATGAATGCAATAGACTTGTCTGATTTCTCTGTATTGACTTAGTGCATAGCTATGCTGTGGCAGCAATGCACGTACCTTAAAGCATGCTTTATATATAAGTCTCTTATAATTGCCTTATACGTAACTATGGACATTTCTATTATTAGGTTCTTGCACAGGACTCTAATAATAGAAAGTGTATGCGTGAGTGTATATATATGTATTTAAACATATACTTCATGCTTTCAGGAATGTTTCATAAGCAATGTTGAGGAAAGAGACACTGCTCTCAAGAGGCT